CCCCAAAACCCCAAAACCCCAAAACCCCATTTAGATATAACTAAATTGACATTTTTATGTACCAAGAGTCGTCTTGATATTTATCTTATGAGGCTTCGAGCCAGGTCTTTGTAACAAATCCGACATGAAATAATGCCTCTTTCTCACTCTCAGAGGTTGCAGACTTCCTTGCTTTCACCTCTTCTGAAAGTGCATCTTAGCCTTAGTTGTGTTTGAAGATAACTTCTTATGCCTATCTAGTAGAAATTTAGATACATGATGGTTAAGCTCTGGATTAATGATTTTCTTTAATGTTTTCACTGCATACTTATTAAAACCTGTGCTTTATATCAGTCTAGAAGATCAAGGAGGAGCTCTACCTTGCGTACAGGAGTCTTATTATCAGGAAACTCAATTGATTTACAGTTGATACTTTTGTACGAGCTAACTGAGGTAACTAGATTTTAATTATTCCCTGATCAGTTTCTTACTTTTATTCCTAAAAATTCACATTTCTAATCTTACTTGTATGTATTAAAGGAGTTTAGCAGCTGACCAGAAGAGGATTTATTTATCTTATCATTCCAAGTAGCAATACTAGGTGTTGAGAGCGTAAGGTTTCATTCATTTCCCATTGACCTACAAATCCATAACCATGCATACCTATTAATCCTGTCATTTATGGTCAAGTCATCATTGGTTCTGAGATATCTTTCATCACTAAACTGCCTTTTTCCTTTACTTCATGAACTTCCAAGCGTTGGAGCTTGATGCTTCATCTCATTTTTCTTGCCCTTTATCTCTTCTTGGCTGAGTGGGACTATTCTTCTCACTATTGGAAGAGTCAGTTTTTCTTTGCACGAGCAATCAGCTTTTAGTGGTGTATTTCCTTTAATGTTTGGAATCTATAGAACATTTTATGTAAGTTATCTTAAGTCTAAATCTCTCTAGGAAAGCCTCTTTTGAAATGATGGAAAGTTTTAAAGCATAATAGATTTATAGAGTTTTAGGTATCCTAAAAGACCAGTTTCTTAAGACTCTCTTTGCTAGAATTATATTTTTAGTGATAACCATAGATCGGATAAAGACAATGGGCGTAAACAACTCTGACAAGGCTTTTCATATGAAATGATAACAAAGATACCACCATTAGTAAAATTTACATTAGTTACTCTATATTTTTGGTGAGTGTTAGGATTGGAGAAACTATTTCCATTGTAGGCATTCTCCATTTTCTCATATATTTCTGAGTCAGCTAAATATTTCGGGTATTTCGGGGTTAAGCCTAATCTCACATTATACACATTCTGAAAGCTCTGAGAGGCTCATGAGGAGCCTTTCAATTGTAACAAAAAATGTCCTTAAATGTTGTCAGAACTTTAAAGCTGAAGTAATAAATAAAAACAAACCCAATTTCTTATGTAAAAATACCTTTTGTATGCTTATTTCTTACCAAAACTTCTGATTTTGGCTCTAGAAGGCCATAAGCTTCATCTCCACTTTCATCAGACTCTGACGTAATAATCTGGTGGTACCAGAGATCTTGTCTCTCCGGAATTTGCGAATAGTATTTATTACTCTGGCTCTCATTAGTGAGTCCTAGAGGTCTCTAAAATTGCTCAGTCAATCATTAAGATCTCAATGTGAATGAGTTGAGATCGTACTAAGAAATTTAGAATGAATCAACGTATAAAAGTCCAACTAAATTTTTGAAGATTTAGCTGCAAAAGAACTATTCATAAATTCCTCGTAAAGTTTGTAGTCAGAGATGATTCAACAATTTCTTGGTATTTTGACAACCAAACAAGGTAATGAGGATAGGTTGATAAGGCCACTTAAAATCTGTGAAATTACGATAAAAGTCTTACTTTGAATTAGCTCCTACATTATGTGAAGCGAAAAAGTTCTTGTTATGTCTCACCCTACTTTCTCGAAGTGAAGAATTATAGAACTTAACAGCTCCTTTTGTAGAATTACAATGTTGAATATGGTTAGGATCCTGGGTTCAAGACAAGTCTCCCCCAACAGCTTGATGCTTGGGGTTTATCTCAAGAGTGATCTGGAATGAGGTATTAGTTGTCATTTTGAGATATTCAAGATTGAATTTTAATGAAAAATATTATTTTCAATAAAAAAGTAATTTTATGGGGTTTTGGGGTTTTGGGGTTTTGGGGTTTTGGGG